TACTATAATTAACCAGGATCCTTCAAGTAGTTTTGGGGACTTAATAAATTAGCATCGGGTTTTGGGGCCCATGATACTATAATTATAAAAAGGAAATGGTAGTGATTTATTGGGGCCCATTCTAGTTTCAAAGAGTGTTGCCAGCGGCGTATCCGTTCGCACTTGAAAGGTTAAGGGGATGCCTGATATAGTGGCTTAATTCATTACCTACATTATTGTGGGGTGTTCCTTATTATAATTAGAGTATAATGGGCCCCCAAACCCTATTCTAATTACTAAAGCCCTATATTAGGGCATAGGGTGGCCGTGATTGCAAGAATTAGCTTTGAGGCTTAAGGGCCCGAGCAGCCGTTAAGATATCAGGGTCTAGGGGTCCAGGGAAATAGACGATATCGAAAAATAAACAAGAACAAAGTATGATATGATGCTTTACAAATACAAACTAGAGGCCGAACCTGACAGGTCGCAGTATAGGGCTTACTTGGAGGGTCGGGGGACTTAGTAAATGGCTGTTTTATAGACTTATAAGTACGATAACCCCAATTAGGGTCCCTTTAGGGTACTTATACGTCTACTTATTACCTACTTACTAACTCCAAGTAGGGAGGGGCTTACGGGAACACGCCTTAGAGGCTAACACGTGCAGAGATGGCAGCCTGCCCGAGACCGCACACCCAAAACCCGTTAAGCCCACCTGGATTGCACCGTTACATGGTTAGGGTTTAGGGTTTAGGATTTAGGGTTTAGGCTCATCGAATTTCAGCGAAGACCTCGATATCTGAGATTTGGGACCTCCCAGCAGGATTGCACGGCTCCCGGAATGCTCAACGTGGAGGCTTTCGGTCACGCTGTCGCATGTCGGGGGCCAGGGTAGCATTGTCAGGACCTGCACCGGTCGTATAAGATGAGCGTCGGCAAGACTGCTGGCTTTTCCAGAGGAGCGTCGAGAAGAAGGCTGGGAAGAAACCTGCATGGCCGGTCGAGAGAACATCCACAGATTTGCAGGGGTTTAGGGTTTAGGGACGTTTAGGGTTTAGGGCTTAGGGACGTTTAGGGTTTAGGGTTTAGGGAGGTGCCGGTGAGGCTATCCTGGCTTCGCTGCGGTCTTTGAGTGAGCCCGTCCTGGATGTGTATGTAGTGAAGAAACTAGGGCACAGTCAACTGCACGGGCGGGCGCCGTCAGGATGTATCCGATTCGGGCTTATGTAGAAAACCCGAGACAGATAAATGGAAAGAAAAATAGATAGATATATAGATCGATAGATAGATACTTCGATAGATAGATAGCTAGCTAGCTAGCTAGCTAGATAGATAGATAGATAGATAGTTAAATAGGTAGGTAGGTAGGTAGGTAGGTAGGTAGGTAGGTAGGTAGGTAGGTAGATAGACAGACGCATGGATAGATAGATTCGTGGATAGACTCGATTGAGGCATCCTTGTGTTGAGCTTGGAAGGAAGGGCCCTGACGTTCTAGAGACTGTACGAACGGCATATCGCGATTAATCTTATTTTGTATTTCGAGACGGCAATACCCCTTAATTCAGATGTCGCTTGCCGTACTGATTTTGGAAGTGCGGATGATGCGGTTTGGAGGCATCCCTTCTTGCAATGGTCCCAGAAGGCTTTATGTAAGTAGAAGGTTTTGTAGTAGTCTTCTGCAGATTGCACCACTCCTTAAAGGAGCGGAGCGCTTCTTGAGGATTGCAAGCAGTTAGCTAACGCTTCTTACTTCAGAAATTTTGCAGTCTCAGGGTAGGATTGGCATCTAGCATGAGCTGTTTCCGGTTCCGGCGTAAGCTAGAGCCTTTCAAGGTTCCAAATTGGGGGATTCGATTCAACACCCTTCTCAGATACTATGGAATCCCCTGATCAACTCTCTA